TGTATTGTTATATTAAGAGTAAAGAACACAAAAACCTACGTTTTTTTGGTACAATGAAAGGTAAATATTTATTATTACTTACAACCGACTAGCTTCAGTAACATTGTTACCATTATCAGGACCAATATCTACAGTGTTGACTTTGAATATATTCTGCTACAAACCGTTCTTCGAATATTTTGTGGTTAAACAAACACAGATACATAACTTAAATATACTTTTTCAGATTAGTTCATAGAAAAAAAATATATATATAATAAAAAGCGTTCATCTAAATGTTTCACTTTTCATATTAAACATCATCTCGTTTAGAGTTACTTTTGAAATGGTAAATCAAGAAAGTTCCTTACCTTGAGAACTACTTAAATAACTTTAAACAAACAGATTTATAATATATTGTACAAAAGTACTAACTCTGGTTACAAAGATTCTGTATTCTCTCAATTAGTTTACGTACGGAACATACACAAAACTAGGAGTAGGAGTAGAAAGCAACTGTAATGAGCTTAGAACTTAGATTGAAGGACGTGGAGCGTGTCGATCTTTATAAGACATTTCTAAAAATATTCAAATAAATTGCAATAGCTACATAATATAAGTTTAATCGTCTACTATGCCTTATAGTTCTTATTTTATTACTATTTAAACAAAGAGAAATAGTGAACTGGTAAGGGAAGGGGTAGGCTGAATGTTTAATAGTTCCACAAACCCAGCAAGTATTTAACTACAGCATTTAAACTCTAAATTCAGGACAATACTATTATAGCATGTGTTCTTCTTCAGTGCTTACTGCATTTAACTGTTAATTCTGAAGTATTATTGCAGATTGTGCTTTTCTTCGGTTTATATTACATTTAACTCTAAAATATTGATATATTATTTTAATAATCAGCATTCTTACTACCTTTTTAAAGACCCTTTAGTCTCAAATCTCTGGTATATTATTATAATAAATAGAAGAAAAAAATTAAATTTTTAACGAAAAGTATGGATCGTTGGTTATTCGTAGAATGGCTATAAGAAGTATCCAAAACAAAATAAATGGTGCAATAAAAAGTACACAAACAAGTAAAGTGATACTAGTAGGGTGGATTTTAAAACGATTCTCAATCTCTACTTTAGACTGCTTCATTTAGCTATACGAATTACAATGCCAACCACAGTAAGGATTGAGAATCATTTTAAAACTATCCAAATAGTATCACTTTACTTGTTTGTGTACTTTTTATTGCTGCATTTATTTTGTTTTGGATACTTCTTAGAGCCATTCTACGAATAACCAACGATCCCTACTTTCCATTAAAATTTTATTCTATTTTGCCTATTTATTTTATTCAGTTTTTATATGTACATGGAATGGACACAACAACTACAAACTTTCAGTATAGCCATATCTCTGATAGCTATATATGTTATACCTGTATAAAGTATATACTTTACCTTTAGAAACTGTCGAGTGTCTATCCATCGATATGTAGCATCATATGTTGAGTTGAATTGGGTTGAAAAGATATTTAAGTATGTGCATGATGTTTCTTATATATATATATATATATATTTATCGGATTATCTAAAACGGATATCCACAGACAAGTAAAGTAAACTGGAGAAATCTTGTAGCGATAGTCCGAGCCGTCTAGTGGCTAGCCTCGCTGACGTGATCAGATAGGTAGGTAGGTAGTGGACGAAAAAGCTGCTGTTTTAGAAATTTTTGAATTGTTATACCAGAAATATTAGCGGCCTTTTTAGCGTATCATTAGTATATACGAGCATAATATATCGTAACCAATACTTTGAATGGTCGGTTTTTCGCTTAGGAATTTAACAGGGTGGTTTTTGGCGCGTGAATTATATGGAATCCTTGCTTATCCCTACTATTAAGTACTACCATACTTAATAATAAGGTCTTATTATACAGTTCTTACTATTTTGAGGTTATAAGTTTGGTCTATATTACTATTATTTGCTTATTTTTTAAACACAAAGCTACACAATGAGCTATCTATGGTATACCTACCTATAGGTATCGAACCTCGAGATTTAACGTAATAAGCACTTCAACTTGCCGCTAGTGGTGGCGTATATTATTATGATAAGTATTTTAAAACATTTTTAATATCTTTAAGTGTCAGTTCTAGAATATATTTTTATAGAAAGTGATTTGCTAGAATATTTACAGACTTAAGTCTAATCCCCAAAGTATTCTATTGTAGTGACTTACTAACTTTTATATTGCTTCTAAGTCTCAACTCTGGGGTATATTATTTCAGTAAGTGTTTTGCTACAGTTACATCTCAACTGTGGTATGTACACTTGATGACCACTTTATTAGGGCCTGTGTGCCATTTTAGACTTGAACCTGATCTGAGCTGCAGATGGAAATTAAGTCGATCACATGGTGTGCCAGACGATCCCTGCAGCACTATAAATGACTGAGAGAATCACATCTGTAGTCAATAAAATATATATGAGAAGGGGCAAAACTATTGCAGCATTCAAAAGAGGCATAATAGTAGGTGCATGTCTAACTGGTGCTATAGTGGCCAAGGCAGTCTTCATTGTAATCTGCTCCAAGACATTCGTCGTTCGAGTTTATCAATAATGGCCAATAATAAACACCCAGTGAGAGAGAAAGGGGATAGACAGGATGATAGAGTCCACCCGTAGTCGAACAATAGAACAACTGACAGACATTCAAAGTAGGGTAATCCCATATTAAGCTGTGCCTTACAAATGAATTATAGGAGAAGGAGATCATTACATAAACCAGTGATTTCAGTTACCACCAATAAAACACGCCTCGTGTGGTGTGAAGATGGCAGACATTGGACTAATGAGGACTGGTGAAGAGTGATGTAGTCCGACCACTCAGGCTTATTCTTTCTGTACAGATGGGAGAATATAGATTTGGAGAAGTCCACACAAATTACTCGACCCTCTTGTGTGTTGCCAACTGTCCAAGCCTATGGTGGTGGAGTCATGATTTGGAACACCTTTTCCTGACATACACTAGGCCTTATAGAAGCCACAATGAATGTCACAGCTTACCTCAGTATCATTTCTGATCAAGTATATCCAGCCATGCTTCAAGTATATCCTGATGAAGACGGCTGCTTCCAAGACGGCAATGTTTCCTCACACCAAGTCAAAATAGTGCGTGCATTGTCTGAGGAATATGAGGGAGATTTCAGGCATCCCTATACTCACTACATTCCACGCATATCAATGCAATTAAGCATATGTGGGAAAAACATGAGAGGCGCATTTCCCATCACGATCTTGTGCCTACCTCGCTCCATGAATTGCGTAAAATATTTATGACTGAATTGGGAAAAAATCCTCAGAACATCTTCCAGCATCTTGTGGATCCTATGGGACGTCGTGTCATTGCTGTTATTTCGGCAAAAGATGGGTCAACCAGTTATTGGGTATAGTTTTTAATAAAATGACCAACCAGTGTATTATTACAGCAGATGCTGTACTACAGTTTTTACTCAATTAAGTTTCTATGCTAGAGTATATTATTATTATTAAAGTATTTTAACTACATTTTCACCACTTTTAAGTTTTTAATACAACAAATGTGTTACTACAATTCTTCAGACTTTAACTTTGAATTCTAGAGAACGATGTTACATAAATGCTTTACTATAGCTTATACAATCTCTATTTTTCCTAATGGGTTTATATGATTATAGTAAGTTACATTCTTTTACATTTGGTTGCAAAGCTACACCATAGACTATCTGTGCTCTGCCCACCGCGGGTATCAAACCAGAATTTTAGCGTCGTAAGCCTGCAGACTTACCGCTAAGCCACTGGAGGGTGGCTTTTAGAGTAAACACATTACTACAATTATTATTACACGTAGGTGTTAACTCTGATGTATATTTAATTTTAGTAAGTTTTTTATTTAGTTTCTTTTTTTTTCTTACATTTACCTTCAAACTCTAGAGTATATCATTATACGTGATTCCCTTGTTTTTGCTTCTGTTAAATCTCAACATTCTAGTGAGTGCTTTATCACAGTTTTTACTATCATTAAACCCTCAACCTGGAGTATATTATTATTAATATCATTAGTAAGAGCTTTATTAGAGTTTTATTTTTACTTTAAAATGTCAGTTCTGGCTTATATTACCAAGAGATCCACTACAGCTTTCATAGGTACAATTGTGAGCTCTGATGTATATTAGTATAGTGATTGATTTACTACAGTTTTTGCTACCTTTAAATCTCAATTCTGCTATTTATTTAACTTTAGCAAGCGTGTTCTAGTATGTTTAGGACTACATAATAAATATTGTCTTTAAATTACATCCTTTTATTAAGTTTTCCTGTCTTGAACTGTGGACTATAGTTTTACAAATACCAGTTCATTAGCCAACTCTAGTAAGTGCATTGTTACTTTTATGTACACTACAGCTTTGGGTATTGTTAACTCTGGAGTATATTTTTATTGTAAATACGTAATGACAGTTCGTGCGTGTAAGTTTTAACTATTATGGCATAAGACCTTCAGAGTTTTACATCTGAATTTCATCTCCGGAGTATTTTATTATGTGTTTTTCTACATTTTTTACTGCAAGGTGTCAATCATGAAATATACTATTATGATGACTCCTACACTACTTGTAAGTCTCAACTCTGTATCAAAACACTCACTGAAGCGACACACCAGAGTTGAGACATTCAAACAATGAAGTAGATTTTTATGGTCAACAAGCATAAGCTATGCAGTATAATATTATTATACTGAGTATTTTATTATAGTTTTTATTACTTTCGAGTCTAAACTCTGGAGTGTATTATTATGGAGTTTTACTGGGGGTTTCTAATCTAAGAAAATCTCTATTGTTCCACTGAATCAAGAGAACAGTATAAACCTAAAATTTTGGTAAAAACAAAACAAACATGTTAAACTGTAAATGAATTTCAAACAGGGAGGAAACCCGAAGGGTAAATTTTGTTATTACATTGTCTAAAAGAATGGTTTTTACCGTAATCACTTTCGGTGTCGGCATCTTGATCATAGTCTGAATAATCCGTGCTGCTGTAAGAGCTCGTGCCGTCAGTTTCCGGTTCACTTACAGGAAGTGTAGGCGTGTCCTCACCAGCTGCTTCCGCTTTCAGCTTGTGGTAACCGCGCTTAGTACTTCGGCCACCTAGTGGCGAAAGAAAAGTCAAATTAAATAAAAAATATTTTTTTAAGTGAATTGTTATACTTTGAGTATTATGTTGTTACTCAAACTGTTAAATAAATAAACGTCACTTCTACACGGATTCTTAAACAGTATCAAACATGTTAACAAAATAACAGAAATAAACGTCACTTTTATATATTCTTAAACAATATCAAACATATCATTAACAAAGTAACAGAAATAAACGTCACTTTTATATATATTCTTAAATAGTATCAAACATGTTAACAAAATAACAGAAATAAACGTCACTTTTATATATATTCTTAAACAGTATCAAACATGTTAACAAAATAACAGTAAAATGAAAATAGCTTTACAATATAACTCATGCTTGGTATTTATAATTCATTTCAACTAGCTATCTAGCAATAAGAAAACTTTTAAAACCTGAACATTATTACACGTTCATGGTAATCAAGATGTTTAGAAAATCAGCAGCAAACATATAATTATTCAGGTTCAAATAAAGCATCGATGAACAAGTTGTTAATCACAGATACTTGTTTTGAAGTAGGAACAAGTTGTTAATCACAGATACTTGTTTTGAAGTAGGAACAAGTTAATAACTTGTTCCTACTTCAAAACAAGTATCTGTGATTAACAATCACAGATACTTGTTTTGAAGTAGGAACAAGTTGTTAATTACAGATACTTGTTTTGAAGTAGGAACAAGATGTTAATCACAGATACTTGTTTTGAAGTAGGAACAAGATGTTAATCACAGATACTTGTTTTGAAGTAGGAACAAGTTGTTAATCACAGATACTTGTTTTGAAGTAGGAACAAGTTGTTATTCACAGATACTTGTTTTGAAGTAGGAACAAGTTGTTAATCAAGATACTTGTTTTCAAGTTCATACTTAGTATATACACAATCCCCCTTATTTTTTAATTCCCTGGGGAATGCGTAGTGATTCTCCGAAAAGAAGTTGAGAAACATACAAGAAGTGAACTTAAATTTACTCTTGTTAGAAAACATAATTATGATTTTTATTCTCCGATCATGGTACATAACTGAAAGATAAGTTGCTCGAGTTTTCCTTGTCTTTAATTGTGTGTTTTTTACAAATCTTTAATGTAAAACACACAAAACACAACCGTTAATACGGTCTTTTTAGGGTCTTTTTAGTTAATTTATCTTCATCTATCCGCAAAACATTTGCTATATAAATTATCAGTAATAATTTATTACGACCTAATCAAAGATAACGCATCAGCAAATTATCAACGCATATTATTAACCCTAAAGGTCTGCAGCTTTGTATGTAGAAACAGGAATAACCAAACATCTCCTGCGGCGGAAACAGGCCTCATAATGTGGATCAATTCAGCATTTAACAGCTCGTGCAGGAGAACTTATTGATTCAGTCAGCACGTCCGCCCGTTTGTCGTGGTTATCACATAAATGATATAAATATATGTCTGTATATAAAACTATAACTGGTTATAATGTCTCTATTTGCGTGTATATATACACAACCTTACACGTATTAGATAGAGCATTTTCGTTGGTTGTACAAACGATGGCATCACTAAATTCAAAATCATATTTACAATTCTTATTTAAACTTTAACGTCAAATTTGATAAAATATGCATGAAAATCCGATAGTTTACTTTGCATGATCAGCAATGAGCTTCTAAAGTCGATCATTTCACTGTAAAAGTTTGTATTTTATCTAACCTCTTCCCATTTAATGATCTTCTTTCTCTGTAAATAACATGAGATGATAAGTTTCAAAAATATCCTTCTTTTGTTTGAAGCTCAACACAAAGCTATCTGTGTTCTGCCCACTACGGATATCGAAACCCGGTTTCTAGCGTGTAAGTCTGCAGACATGCCGCTGTGCCACTAGGGGCACTCGGTTATGAGTAATCTTTGTATAATTAATGAACCCGATTTAGTTTAAATGCTAAAGCACTATTGTTCATGTAAAGCAACGAAAGAAATCAACCAAGATCACCAAATATAGAGTTAAACTATTCTCTCTGTTATTATCACGACAAGCTATAACATATCATTGGAAATACATAATACTAGCTATGGTTAAGTGAAAAACACAAAACCGACGTTTTTTGCCATAATGAAGGGCAATATCTTTATTATTAGTAACATCCGACTAGTTACCATCATCAGGACTATTAGCTACAGTATTAGCTTGGCCTATATTCAGCTACAACCGTATAGGCTAAGCTAACATTGTAGACATTAGCCTTGATTATGGTAACAGTGTTATCGAAATGAATCGGCTGTAATTAATGATAAAGATATTCAACTTCATCGTGCCAAAAATGTCTGTTTTTGTGTTTTTACTCTTAACAGAGTAGCACAATTAGCCTGAAAAGAAATTACTAACTATGGTTTTTATGAATGCAATATAAATGTTGACGCAACATTCAAAATACAATTTTTTATAGTTGCTTATTTGAGGTAGAGTAATGCAAACATAATTATTTTGACTAAACACAGAGAAAAATATTATGAAACAATTCACGAGTGTGAAGGAAAAACGAACGGATCAGTTACGTAAAGGTGTAACTATAGAAACGTTGAGTGGCAAACTAGCCTGCTGGATTCGTAAAGGTGTAATTATAGAAACGTTGAGTGGCAAACTGGCCTGCTGGGTTCGTAAAGGTGTAACTATAGAAACGTTGAGTGACAAACTGGTCT